TTTTAAATCAAAAAACAGGTTCTGGGCCGGGCACGGTGGCTCAAGCCTGTAATCCCAGCACTTTGGGAGGCCGAGACGGGCGGATCACGAGGTCAGGAGATCGAGACCATCCTGGCTAACACGGTGAAACCCCATCTCTACTAAAAAATACAAAAAACTAGCTGGGCGAGGTGGCGGGCACCTGTAGTCCCAGCTACTCGGGAGGCTGAGGCAGGAGAATGGCGTAAACCCGGGAGGCGGAGCTTGCAGTGAGCTGAGATCCAGCCACTGCACTCTAGCCTGGGCGACAGAGCAAGACTCTGTCTCAAAAACAAAACAAAACAAAACAAAACAAAACAAAAAAAAACGGTTCTGGGCTGGGTGTGGTGGCTCGTGTCTGTAATCCCAGCACTTGGGGAGGCCAAAGCGGGCGGATCACCTGAGGTTGGGAGTTCGAGACCAGCCTGACCTATATGGTGAAACCTCGTCTCTACTAAAAATACAAAATTAGCCGGGCGTGGTGGCGCATGCCTATAATCCCAGCTGGTCGGGAGGCTGAGGCAGGAGAATCACTTGAACCCAGGAGGCAGAGGTTGCGGTGAGCTGAGATCATGCCATTGCACTCCAGCCTGGGCAGCAAGAGCAAAACTCCACCTCAAAACAAAACAAAACAAAACAAAAACAAAACAAAAAAACAGGTTGTGGCCAGGCTTAGTGGCTCGCACCTATAGTCTCAGCACTTTGGGAGGCTGAGGCCAGCGGATTGCTTGAGTTCTGGAGTTTAAAACCAGCATGGGCAACAAGGCAAAACCCCATCTCTACGAAAAAATACAAAAATTAGTTAGGTGCAGTGGCAAGCACCTGTGGTCCCCAGCTACTCAGGAGGCTGAGGTGGGAAGATTGCTTGAGCCCAGGAGGTCAAGTCTGCAGTGAGTTATGACGGCGCCTCTGCACTCCAGCATGGGTGACAGAGGGAGACCCTGTCTCAAAAAACAAAACAAAACAAAAAAACCCAAAAAAGAAAACACAGGGTTCTGCTGCTTTCTGCCCACTGCCTTAAAAGTTAGTGAAGAACTATCCAAGGCCAGGAAACCAGGATGACAGAAGCCTGATCTTCCAATGAGGTCAGATGTGGGAGCTAAATGTTGCCTTCAATGACTGCCAAGCTGCAGTGTCAGCAGCTGAACAAGGGAGGCACTGGAACTAGCCCTCTTGTGGTCTGTCAAGTGGTAACATTGGTTGGCAGCCCTCACCCTCTACCTGGGACAGATGTGTGAGGAGAAAGAGGTAAAGGTGGGCGGGCAGAGGAACTGAAATCTCCAGAAAGGAAACTTGCTAGCCCTGAGGCCCAAGGCCCTCCAAAGCACCAGATCACAGAGGCAAGTCCCAGGCTTCTGGGGAGAGAAAGAAAGAAGAAGAAGGAAAAAACATTGAATAAAGGAGATGGAGAAGGAGAACTGAATGTTAGAATTATTCTCCATCACATGCTAAGGGCACCTGTTTTCACTCCATGGGAATAAATGGCGGATTCTCAGAGTGGGCCTGTCAAAGCCTCTGAAAGACCAGCAGGCTGGGAGTCAGGGAGGCTGGGGCCTGCTTTGGCTCTGCTCCACTGTTTACTGAACTGGGTGACTTTGCTTGAGCCATTAAACATTCCCTGGCCTGAATTTCCTTCATTGGGAATAATACCTGTCCTGTCTGCCTTGCAGGGTTGTTGGAAGGTCTGATAAGATAATGGACATAAGTCCGGACATGGTGGCTCATGCCTGTAACCCCAGCACTTTGGGAGGCTGATGCGGGTGGATTGCCTGAGGTCAGGAGTTCAAGACCAGCCTGGCCAACATGGTGAAACCCCGTGTGCGCTAAAAATACAAAAATTAGCTGGGCGTAGTGGTGCACATCTGTAATCTCAGCTACTCGGGAGCCTGAGGCAGGAGAATCACTTGAATTCAGGAGGCAGAGGTTTCAGTGAGCTGAGATAGTGCCACTCCAACCTGGAAAACAAGAGCAAGACTTCGTCAAAAAAAAAAAAAAAGAAAAAAAAGAAAAAGAGATAATGGACATAACCTCCCTGCAAAAAACATACCTAGTTACTAAGAACCCTTCAGAGAGTTGAAGAGTCACAGACACCGGGAAAGTCACCTCATTCATTAGCCATCACTCTGCACACCCTCTTCCAAGCTGGATAGCTCTGACTAGCAGAGGGTGGGGAATGGATCAAATGTCTAAGAAGGCAAAGCGAGACATCGATCTCACTGAGATGTCCCAGGCTCACCAGCCCCTATGGATACCATGTTCTTTCTCACATTGAATCTGTCTCTCCTTTTATTACTTCTGCTTATTTCCTCCTGTTCCACCTGAAGATTTTCTCTCTACCTGCTGAAATATGGTATCGTTTTTAGTGTTTATTCACTGAAAAAAACTCATTATTGAAAAACATGACCCAAAGTTGCCAAAATTATCCCTGGAGTCCAGAGACCAAAGTCAAGCATCTATTCTGGGAAGGAGTCAAGGACAGAGTCAACTCTTGGACCCCTTTGCTTAGAAAGTTTCAATCTTTTCCCTAACCTTGTCCCAGATTCAGGTCATCTTACTCCCTGCAGGACTTTGGGTCACGGGAGTGGGGTGCTTGTTGGAGTCTATTTTGTGTTGCTGTAACAGAATACCACAGACTGGGTAATTTAAAAAGAATAGAAATTTATTTCTTACAGTTCTGGAGACTGGGAAATCCAATATCAAGGTACCCTCATCTGGTGTGGGTCTTCTTGATGCATCATCCCCTAGCAGAAGGCAGGAAGGCAAAAGAGTGCATGAGAGAGCAACAGAGCAAAGGGGTCCAAACTTGATTTTATAACAGGCCCACTTTTGAGACAACTAACCCACTGTTTATTTTTTAAATTAATTAATTAATTATTATTTTTTGAGACAGAGCCTCACTCTGTCACCCAGGCTGGAGTGCAATGGCGCGATCTCAGCTCACTGCAACCTCCGCCTTCCAGGTTCAAGCGATTCTCATGCCTCAGCCTCCTGAGTAGCTAGAATAACAGGTGCATGCCACCACGCCCAGCTAATTTTTTTTTGTATTTTTAGTAGAGATGGGTTTCACCGTGTTGGCCAGGCTGGTCTCAAACCCCTGGCTTCAAGTGATCCACCTGCCTTGGCCTCCCAAAGTGCTGGGATTACAGGCATGAGCCACTGCGCCACTGCGCCCAGCCTGGAGATAACTAACCCACTGTTTATGATATTAATCCATTCATGAGGGCAGAGCCCTAATGACCTAATAACCTCTTATTAGGCCCCAGCTTCAACACTTTTGCATTGGGATTATTAAGTTTCCAACATGTCAACTTTGGGGGACACATTCAAACCATAGCAGTGCTATTTTAGGAAAAAGTAGCTGCATGTGTATTGAAAATGTCACCTAGGTATGGTGGCTCACACCTGTAATCCCATTACTTTGGGAGGCTGACGTGGGAGGATTGCTTGAGCCCAAGAGTTTGAGACCAACCTGGGGAACATAGGGAGACTTTGTCTCTACAAAAATTTAAAAATTATCCAGGTGAGGCAGCACACTTCTGTAGTCCAAGCTACTCCAGAGGCTGAGATGGGAGGCTCATGTGAGCGTGGGAGGAGGAGGCTGCAGTGAGCTGTGATCATGCTACTGTGCCCCAGCCTCGGTGATAGAGTGAGACCCTGTCTCAAATAAGAAAGAAAAAAAAAGAAAAAGAAAATGTTTATGTGCTATTGGGGTCAGCCTTAGCACAAGAACATTAGTTAAGTGTGCTTTTAATAATGGAAGGAGTTCCAATTAAGATAGGATTTGGATAACTTCAGGGAAGTTTGGTTTACGGTGGGAAAGGGAACCCTGACCTCAGAGTTGCTGTCTTGGGTCTTTTCCATCACAGACCTTCACCTTGCCAGGTACATTGCCTCTCCCTGTACTCTAAACACTTTCAATTACGGACACTCTCTCAGCTCTGAACTCGGATAAATGCTACCTTGTTAACTAATAGTACCATTTAGTATATTAATGATTAATAGCTAATTAGTCATAATACTGTAATACAATGGAGGCTTCCTTTACCGCAGCAGCTGTAGGTCTCAAGCACACACATCCCCTTCCCTATTCCTGGCCACAGGACAGGCGAGGCTCTAAATCTGTTTTTCTGAGCACCCTGGCAATCTCGAAACTGTTCCAGTTTTTAGCGGTACCATTCATATGGCGAATGACCACTACTGCTTGCATGCTGCCGAGCTGATTTCTGTCCCCTGTCACTCCCACTGCCCTCCAGGAACAAGGAGGTCAGCAGTCGTTAAATTTTTATTCAAAGTCTCTTTTACTTCCAAATCTCACATCGACCCACTTTTCTACTTTGGCTCCTTTCTTCACTTTACCTTCCCCCATCCTAATGCGCGCCTATTTTGTGGAATCCCACAGTAGCGCCTGCTACAACCCCCCGAACTGTTCGCTTTGGCTTCCTTTCAGCAACCACGCCCCCCGACCCAAGGAGAGCGCCGCGCATGCGCACCTCTCGCCTTTACCTGGGCGCCGGGAGTGGGCGGAGTGGGAAAGGGCGGGGGTGGCGCGGGGAGCCGGCGGTTATCTGGGCGGCGGAGCGCTCACAATGTGGCAGGAGGCAAAAAAGGTGCGCCCGGGCCGGCCCGAGGGCTGCGCATGCGCGCCGCCGCTCCCAGCGGCCGGGATGCCGAGGGGGGGGGCGGAGGGAGGTGTCGGGATCCCTGTTGGGCGGGGGGGGCCGGCGAGGGAAGGGGCCGCGGGCGCGCGCGCGCGCCCTCGCAGCCGCTCGCCTCCCTCCCTGCCCCCTCCGGCACACACATCCACAGACGCACACCCCCTCCCCTGCCGCCCGCCCCGTGCTGCCCGCCCCGCCGGCCCCGCTCGCCCTCGCGCGCTGGGAAGGGAGTCGCGAGACGTCGGAGCGGCGGCCACGTAGCGCTGCGGCGGCGGCGGCGGCAGCGGCAGCGGCGGAGGCCGGGTCTTGAGGAGCGGCCCTGAGGACAGACGTTGGGCAGGGGGGAGGGGCCGGCCCAGCCGGCGGTTGTGACTCGAGCGGCGCGGCTGCAGGCCCCCGCCGCAAGGATGGACCGCCGAGGCGGCGGCCGGGGCGGCGGAGGCGGAGGCGGCCGGCCCGGGTGAGTAAGGGCCCCTTCCCCCACGCACTCGCCACCGTCGCAGCGGCGCCCCCGGCAGCCCTTCCTCTCCGCCGCCCGCCGGGCCGGCCCGGGCTCCGGGGGCCGGCGTAACCCTTCGCCGAGGCAGCTGCGTGCGCTAGGCCGGAGCAGCCTCCATCCGGCTGGGAGGCCCCGGGCGCTGAGCTCCTCGGGCACCCAGCTTGTGCTGAGGGTGCCCCGCTCCTGCCCTTTCGCTCCCTCCCTCCCGGACCCGGGCTTGGCTGCAGTTTTGCAGCGGGTGCGCTCGCCCCGAGGCCTGAGGGGAGGCTGGGGCGGCACGGGTTAGCGGGCCGAGGGGAGATTTGCACCGGTCCTCCTGCGAGCGTTCTCCTACCCTGCAGCTGGTGGCTTGCACCCACTACCTCCCCCGCCCTGCGGTTGCACCCAAACCTCCAACCCCCGGGAGTATTGTACCGCTAGCAGATAAAATGCGTCTGATGTACACCCGCCACCGGCCGCCCCACGCTCACACCAGTGGGTAATGCAGACCTTTCTCCACCCCCACCTCCTCCTCCCCTCCAATCAGACTCTGCTGAAGATTCTTAGATCGGAGACACCAAAGGTAGTGACACCCCTGTTACATCTCCACGTAACATGTTCATTGTCGAGGGATGTCTCCAGTAGAAATGATAAATGCTCCTGCCTCACCTCGAAGTCTGTCTTCAGGATTCGAGACCTTCTCTGAAAAGGTCCAGCTTTGATCACAACTAGAGCATCCCTCCCCCACAACACACAGACACACTCATACACTCACTTCCTGATTGCTGAGCAGCCCCTGTCACCGGGATCCATTGTCAGAAATGGCTTGTGCCAATCAAAGGAATGTGATTGTGCCTTTGGAGAAGGGTGCTTTCCACATCCACGTTCACGGGGTGTTCCTGCGTGAGTCTGCCTTTGCCCCCAGATTGTCCCCGTGTTCAAGCATCATTATCATAATGTTTCCCTTACGTGCATCTCCCGTGGACCCTCAGGAACACCTGAGTGATGCTTTTTTCCCAGTTAATTAGATATGGTGTGTGCAAGTTTCTCCTATTTTGTTGTAATGTTTGGGATCTATGATGAAGGCATAGTGTATTAGTAGGGTAGTATTCAAGAAAGAATGGGAATTTTTTTTTTTTTTTTTTCCCAGAGGATGGCCAGGCCCGTATTGTTCTGGGAATGGCAACTAGCACATGCTTTGTTGACAACATGTGTGTGCTTAGGGATTGAGGAGCTGCTGTTGCTGGGATGTGTGGTGTCTGAGCTGAATACAGGTGATGTTGCCGAGTGGGGCTGTTTTGTGGGTGGGGCTTGACACTGATTATCAGTGGTGGCAGGCAGCTTGGTTGTTTATATCAGGACGGTGCACAGTATTCAGATAATATCTTTAGTATAATTTTGTTTAAACTGTTCACTAAGTTTTAGTGATCCTGTCTTCAGTGGTTAGTAATCTTTGGGGTCATGGAAGTCTTTAGAACCATCTTCTCCATTAAATAGACACATTTTGTGTGCCACTACAGTCAAATTGAAGCTAGTCCTAGGACTTCAGGTTAAGATCTATGTTACGCAAAAGTGAAAGGAGCTTGGGTTGTGTGTTTTGTTTAGTTGGTTAGTTGTTTTTCTTTTTTCTTTTAAGGATTAGAGTTACATTGTCTGGCCCTGAGCAATGAACAACAAAGTAGCTTATGCATGTAACCTTGTGTTTTGTTCTTTGATTAGGATAAGTTAGGTATTTGTAAATTACCATTTCCTTGTCTTACTGTAAAAAGGAAATGTATGTGAGAGTCTTTCAGAAATAGTTAAAGCTAGAGTCCAAATAATTTGCTTAGACTTGACCAATTGGTAATGTATGTTCCTGGCACCAGATTCTAAATGTAGCAAATTTCAACAGCAAAGTCCAAGGTCTGTTTTATAATGCCTATACCGAATCTTTATGTGTTGGCTGAAGTTGATCTGATCTCTCAAAAGAAGGCTATATCATTCTCATAGCGGTGTACCTGCTCCATAAAAAGGATTTTTTTTTTCAGCTTTGTTAACTGTGATTTCATGTCTCAATGGTGATGGTGCCATCAAAATCATTCATTTGGAAATTTTGTTTTAATGGAAGGATTTTAATTGTGGTTACGGAATTCAGCCTTCATATTTAGAATCTGGAACCTAGAATGAACTTTGCACCAGCTATCAATAAGCAGGTGATAAATATCAGCTATTTTTGTTTAAATTACTCTGCACCCAGCTTTTGCCTTTTGGTCGTATTGCAATCAAGAGATATTTATTCCAGCTTGTGATAGTGTTGGAATGGGTAGTAACTTTAAGCACAGTACCGGTTCTCTAGGAGCTTACGATTCTGACATTTTTCGCTTAAAGAATCCTTTGAGACCTTCATATTTTTTGCATTTGGTTGGGGGGGGGGTTTCTGAGAAGCTAAGGAGTTTATGATATTAACTGACACTTTGGTAGGCAAGGAAGCCTTGGAATCTTGCCTATAGAACCTGTTCTATACACCTGAAGAATAGCATTTATTCTAATAATTATGCAGCGTATCCAGAAGTTTGAAAGCATGCTGAAGTTGCAAATATTGCCGTTTTTATTATCTCATAAACATGCTGCCAGTGCCTTATATTACAAGTTACATTTTTTGTTCATGTCATGCCTGAAGTTTTACTGTCTGAAATCATTTGGCTATTCTAAACCCAAACCATTTCAGAGTTGCAAATAGGTTACTTTTCTTTGTATATACTTTGTAGTATACTGACAGACCATTAAAATATCAGGGGACAGTGTGCTTCCTTGATTTAGTATTGCAGAACCTCTTCTAAACCAGTCACTTACCTAGTTAAACACCCACACATCATAGAGCAGCTGATCATATAACACATACGGTTGTGAGAACAGCATTCTCTCCCTGCCAGATTCAGAACTTGGAAGCTGGAAAACAATTGCATAGCAGTGAAACACTTAAGGAGTAGTGGTGCCAGCAGTTCACTCTCATTAATGCAAACAGCTTGCTTTAGTTTCTCCAACACTCTTCTTCAGACACCCTTCCCTTAGGAGGTTTCAGATCAGCAGCTCCTACTCAAGGGAAAACAGCACCTACTTTCTGCAACTGTGGTCTCAAGATCTGATTTGTGACACCCAGAGCTGTTTCCATTTCTGTTCTAAGTATGGGAAGTAATCTCGTAGTGTGGTAAGAAAATACTTTTCAAGTCTGTAGGAAAAAACAGTTGATTAGTAATGCTACTGATGTGATTTTGTTTTTGAATGTCTGAAGCCTAACGAAGAGGTAAACTAGAATATGAACTTTTGAAGTCACCCTTTTCTCAGGGGTTTTAAATAATTTTACTTAAAAAAATGTGAATATACTCTTGAGTTTCATTTCCCTTGTTATAAAAAGTCAGTTGACAGACAACAGGAAAAAAAAGTGGATTGTCTTGTATTTTGAACCATAGCCTTTAAAACTAGTTATTCTAAAGGACATAACTGCACCTCCTTGTTGTGAAGTATTGGGTCTTGTGCTACCATTTTAGGTGTGATATTTTTCTCAGGTGTTGTTGTCATTTCAGACAATCAGCACTTGAGTTTACTTCAATAGAGGTGAACTGGTGCTGCGGTTAGTGACGTTAGCTGAAGAAGGCTCATGGAGATGATGCTTTGGAGCCAGGCATGACTAGATTTAAAACCCCAGCTCCACCATTTACTGGTCTTACGATATTGAACAAGTCACTTTGACCTCTCTGGCCTCAGTTTCCTCATCAACAGAACGGGATTTGTTATGAGGATTAGAGATATTGTATGCAAACTCCTAGCAGTTCGTGGCATATGATCATATTAGAGACTCAATACATGTTAGGATATGGAGCATGTTGGAGTAAAACTACAGATCATTTTGTCTTATGAGAAGATTTAGAAGTCTGGCACTGCGATCTGCATTTTTTTCATTTGTGCAGATTTGGGATGAAAAAATTGCAAATATTTGACTTGGAGTGTACCTAAGTCTTGCAGGTGCAATGTGCTTATGGGAACTTTGATTTGTTGCTCTATGGCTGGCTGAACTTGGTGGGGACAGTAAAATCTAGCTCCAAATTCTACAGTGCTACCCACAGGCTGTGCTTGTTTTAAGCCTATTCAGAGCTTATGTAGTGAAAGGGGTGTTTTAGGACATTAATGGGTTCTGTGTCCAGAGTTGAATCACGTGCAAAGCCTTGTATAAATTTTCATGGTTAATGCAAGCCATGAAGTGCTTTATAGAATCAGTGGCAATATCAGTTGTTTATTTTAATCTGTTTGTTTATATAGTAGTTATGTTTGATTTTTAAAAATACTTATGAACATTTTATCTAATACAATTTCCATTGCTCTTCTGAGATTTTGATTATAAACTGCTCTTGGGGCTATAGATTTGAGTGCTTTATGAATTTTTAATTTGGCAAGGAAAGCAAAGAAAAGTAAGGTCTCTTTACCTGTCAGATTTTATGAACTCTGCTTTAGGCCTATAGATTATATGTGTAGTTCCTTCTCTTGTTTTTTTTTAGCAAAAAGGCAGCTTTATGATAAAGATGACATTATCTTTTTTTTTTTTTTTTTTTTTTTTTTGAGACGGAGTCTTTCTCTGTCGCCCAGGCTGGAGTGCAGTGACATGATCTCAGCTCACTGCAATCTCCTTCTCCCGGATTCAAGCAATTCTCCTGCCTCAGCCTCCCAAGTAGCTGGGATTACAGGCACGCGCCATCATGCCTGGCTAATTTTTTTGTATTTTTAGTAGAGACAAGGTTTCCCCATATTGATCAGGCTGGTCTCAAACTCCTGACCTTGTGATCCGCCACCTCAGCCTCCCAAAGTGCTGGGATCGCAGGCCTGAGTCACTGCACCCAGCCTCTTTAAAAAAAAAAAAAAAATAGTTCAAGTGATTGATTACCTTGAAAAGTAAATTCAATTAGGGCCATGTATACAGTTTTAGTACATGCATACAGCTTTAAAAATAG